TTAAAATTCTGTTCTTTAGATTCATTTCACAGGGTGACAAGGCTTTTGTTTTTTAACTTATTACTAATATATCATAACGTTAAAGTGTTTACATAGTTTCCTTTTTTTTTCCTCTTGGTACTGGGAATTGAACCCAGGGGTGCGCTACCACTGACCTTCATCCCCAGCCTGTTTTTAATTCTTTATTTGGAGACAGCTTATCTTTCCAGGCTGTTCTTGAACTTGCCTCAGCCTCCTGAGTCCCTGGGAGTTCAGATGTGCACCTCTGCACCTGGCTTCACCTATATTTTTAAAGAAGGTAACACAACCACTTGATAAAAAATTCAAAGGTTGGCAGTATCTTGTGAAAAGCCTCCTTCCCAGCCATCCAAGGAAACCTCTTTGTGTATTCAAGTGCAAATGCGTCTATAACTTCCCTCAGCTTTTTTCAATGAAAATGATAATGTACTATCCACACTTCCTGCATCTTGCCTTTTAAAAATCATCTGAGTGTCCTTTTTCTTTTTATAGCATAGTATTCCATGCTGTGAATACACCACCATTAAATTTAACTGTCCTTCTATAGATGGAACGTGTTAATGCAAACAGTATTGCTATGATACTTGTTATGTACAAACAGTGTCTTCTTATTACAAACAGTATTTAGTATTACAACGGATAACTGGAAAATGTCCCATTTCAGCCATGGCCAGTTGTATCACAAAGATGGAGACCCAGAGTAAGATTGAGGGTCAGAGGATAAACAGATGAGTAATTTTTAAAGCTATCAACAAGTTCATCCTCATAAAGCACCCACCATTTTATAGACAAGTGATTAATGAACACACAGTTTCATTAACAAAATGCTAGCTCCTGGATTCTGTTCAGCAGGGATAGGTGTTCCCAGCATAGTTTGTGTGGAAGAGGGAGATGGGACATGGGCATGCTGGGAGCTCCAGCTGTCCACAGCTGCTTGACCAAACATAGCAGTGGGGACTCCATTGTGTCATTCAGTGCAACAGAAGAGCCCACCAGCTTTGTAATTTTCATTTATTTGTTTGAAATGGGTTTTTAATTTTAGAATAACATTTTTAACATGTGTATTTTAAAATTGACTTTTGGCATAGAGATCTATGAATTTTAACACATGTATATTATTGCCATCACCACCACAGTACAGAACACTTGCATCATCCCAACGCTGCTGCATATCACCCCTTTGAAGCCACATCTAAGAACATCTAGACCCCCTGGGCAACCCCTGATCCATTCTCTATCATTATGATTTTGTCTTTTAGAGATGATATATAAATAGAACTGCTCAGTATGTGACCCCTGGGTCTTGGCTTTTTCTACTCAGCATAACTTGCTTGAAGTTTCACCAGAGCTGTCGCACACATTAGTAGTTTGATGTTTTGCATTGCTCAGAAGTATTCCACTGTATGCATATACCACAGCTTACCTACCCACTCACCCACAGAATGGCGTGGGTTGTTTCTATTTGGGAGTGATTATTATCAGAACTGCTATAAACATGCATTTACCAACTTTTGTGGGAACATAAACTTTAATTTACCCCCAGTGTAGTTCAATTTTCATGTGTTTTATGAGTAAGTGTAGGGATATTTTTAAATATTTGAGAGACATTTACATTTCCTTTTTCATAAACTGCTCCTTTCTGTCACCATTTTTTTTGCAGGAAGAGGACTTAGGTGATTTTTATATTCAACAGGTTGGTTTGGGGAGCTGACAGGTCATCCATGCGGACTTATTTAGCATTTAAGTTTAAAATGCAGGGCTAAACTGGGCACTGGAGTGGCCGCCAGTAATCCCAGCAACGAGAGGCTGAGGCAGGAGGATCTCAAATTCAAGCCAGCCTCAGCAATCGAGTGAGGTCCTAAGCAATTTAGTGAGACCCTGTTTCAAAATAAAAAAATAAAAAAGAGCTGGGATGTGGCTTAGTGGGTTCAATCCCTGGTACCAAAAAGAAGAAAAAGGAAAAAAAAAAAGAAAAAAACAAGGCAGGATTAGAATTAGAGACACCCAAAGATAGACTTGAGAGTCGCGGTGATAAAGAATGGAGAGGTGAGCGCATGGACCTGCATAAGCTCTTTAAGAGAGAAAACATACGAGGCTTGAAGACAGAATCTGTGGAAATGCCCACATTCAGGATGTGGAAAGAAGAAGAGCTGAAAGAGGAAGCCAATAGTGAGACTTCAGAGGTCGGAGAGAGCCAGGAGAGGCAGAGTGAAATAAATGTCTAAGTCAAGGACCGTAATCCACAGGACACAGTGTTCAGAGGCTGAGAGAATGTCGCTGTCCAAGAACCCCAGCTGAGAGCCCCAACGTCACTCTGGCTGGACTGGGAGGCCATGTGACCACCCTGCCCACTGCTCTGTGATTGGTGGTGTGGAGCACCAGTGGCCTCCCAGGTCATCATGCTCCAATCCCACAGTTTCCCAGAACCTCCTGGATCCCCACAGAGAAATCCAAAGCTGTTGGGAGGAAGACATAGGAGCCTAAGAAACCACCAACAAATACATAGAAGGTGGCCTTTGAGAGGCGGCATCTAGAAGCTCAGACAGCAGCCATGTGCCGTTGGGAAACTGGAGGCACCATGCAGATGGGTGGTGCGAGACTCCCCCCACCACCACCCCAGGAGGTGGCCTTCCCATCTGTCCTCCCTGCAGCCAAGACAGTCTTTTGAAAGTGAAAATCTAGTTCTGTTGTCACCCAGCAAACGCTGCACATGGCTAGCAAGGTGTTGTCCTTGTGAAGTGCATGGGACTGTAGGCTCCTGCCGGTGCTTACTCTCCATCAGGATCCACAGGCTGTCCCGTTGCCCCCCTAGGTAACAGTGACTGGTTGTGCACCAGACTGCAAGCTGCGTGGGTGGGGATTGTATTTACTTAGTTCACTCAGCATTCTCTAGTGTCCTGTCTAGCATACAGTAGGCACTCATATGTGGCTTTGACAGAATGGATGGATGCTCACTAATCTATGAAATGTGCTGCAGTCTCAGTGTTTATTTCTACGACCCAATTCTCTCCCAGGGTTTACCCACACCAGGTGGCGTTTTATTGGCAATCAGCAAAAATAAAATAATGTGAGGCTTATTTTTTTTTGCTCTCCCTCACTTTGATCTTTGAGGACATAGTGTTCACCTTCTTTTCTCTGCCCTCCCATCCATTCTACCTTGTGAGGGCACAGCTGTGAGATCCTCACCAGGCACTAAATGCCAGCACTTTAACTTCAGGCTTCCCAGCCATCAGAAGTGCAAGAAGTAAAATGTTAAGCCAGGCAAGATGGTGCCCGCCTGTCATCCAACTTGGGAGGCTAAGGCAGGCTGAGGCAAGCTTCAGGTCCATCGGGGCAACCTAGCAAGACCATGTCTCAAATAAAAAATAAAAAAGGATTAGGATGTAACTCAGTGGTAGAGTTATTCCTGGGTTCAATCCCCAATAATACACACACACACACACACACACACACACACAGAATGAAGTTACTAGAAAAAAACGAGCCTGCCCTTTCAAAGCATCTCTGGTCTTACAGAGTAGACAACATGAGCCAAGCTCACCCTCTCAAGCTGAAAGAATTATGGACAAGAAGTTATCACTGAAATTAAGTGGTCGCAGACATGTCCATGGAACATGCAGGGATTTCACCCCTTTACGAATCTCCTGATAGATGAGCATGTGGAGATGGCAACTTGTGGGCAACAGAACGATACTGGAATGGTGGTCACGTAGGGAAACGGTGTGATCACGTTTGAAGCCTTGGAATGAGTATAAATAATGGTTATCCAGCAGAGAAATCTATGCCCCCTCTCCTGAGGGCCTGTTTAACTATGACATAAAAATCAGACCATGTACATTTTCAGATTAAACTTTTTGTTAAATAAACTTTTTAGTAGTAAAATTTAAAAAAGCAATGCTTAGAATTCTAATACTAATATATCCATGTCTATCCATCTAACCCGTATCTATGAAAATAAAGTTGGAGGAAATATGCCAAAGCACAGATCGTGCTTAATTTCAGTGGCACAACCACGGATCTATTTTTCTTATGCTTTTCAAAGATTTCCAGATTTTCTACAATGCATGTGTATTGCTTTTTGGTGTTTTCCAGATTTTCCAGTGTGTTAGGAAACATGTTTTAAATGTTTCAGTTGTAAACTTCCAAAATAATCCACATGAAATCTGAGACAAAACCATAGCAAGCTGTCAGTCCTCTGACTTAACTGCGTTGGTCTATGGATTCCATGAAGACTTCATCTTCTAATAAATTTTGCAGTGAGAAAACTAAAGGAAGAAGAAAAGGTGTGACACCAAGGAATTCATGATGTTTTAAGAGGGGAAGGAAGGGAGGAGGAAAGGAAAGAAAGAAATGTTCTTCAATCTAAAATATCCTAAAGAATGGGATTAGGGAGAACATGGTACAGCAGCTCAATGAAATTGTATGCATGCTGTTTGAAACTGGGTCTCTGAAGACAGAGCGGTGGTCCAAGTCCAGCAAGGTGAGCTTGGACTCCACCATTTCCAAAGAGTCTTCTCAATCCACCTGCACATATGACATGCCACCCTTGAAGATGCTATGCTCTGCTTGCTGTCAGTGTGGCTTCCCCAGAAGCTACCTGCCCCCTCCAGCCAGCCCCCTCCAGTCACAACCCTGCCTGCCCTCAAGGATGGCAGCCTCTTGAAGACCATGACAATATTTATGATGTAAGTTTTGGAATACTTTTAAGATTCAAGTAACAAACAAGAGTAAAAGAACCATGAGATTATAGGCATTTACTGAGGACGACAAAATTAGTTCTAAAATGCAGGGAAAAAAATGGAAGAAAATATGTAACATGAATGACATGGTTATGTGCACTTCTTCCTATTTTTGTTCTTTGAGCATGTACTGTGAAAGGTAACAGCGCAGAAATTGTATTTTCAATACCAAATCAATCATCTTGGGCTCAAAATTAGAGCTGTACCCAAGGAAGCACTCACCGTTGTTCTCTCTCCTCACAGGATGTGCTGGGTGGCGTCCTGATCACCGTGTTCCTCATTGTCCTCACCTACCCTGCCTGGACCCTCATCGACTGCCTGGACTCGGCCAGCCCCCTTTTCCCAGTGTGCGTCCTCGTCGTGCCGTTCTTCTTGTGCTACAATTACCCTGTGTCTGATTACTACAGCCCGACCCGGGCGGACACCACCACCATTCTGGCTGCAGGGGCCGGGGTGGCCGTAGGGTTCTGGATCAATCATTTCTTCCAGCTCGTGTCCAAACCCGCGGAATCGCTCCCTGTCATTCAGAACATTCCACCGCTCACCACTGACATGTTAGTTTTGGGTCTGACCAAATTTATTGTGGGAATTGTGTTGATCCTCTTGGTGCGTCAACTTGTACAAAATCTCTCCCTGCAAGTATTGTACACGTGGTTCAAGGTGGTCACCAGGAACAAGGAGGCCAGGCGGAGACTGGAGATTGAAGTGCCTTACAAGTTTGTCACCTACACGTCGGTTGGCATCTGTGCTACCACCTTTGTGCCAATGCTGCACAGGTTTCTGGGATTGCTCTGAGCCTCAAACAGTTGAAAACTAGCCCACTGGACATGAGAGCCAAGACTCAGGAAAGTTGTTGGGTGAGCAATCTTGACCACTTGTTTTTCTCTGATACAGCTTAAGTCACACATCTGTGCTGCTGATACCAGATAGATGCTGCTGCCGCGGAACTGATGCTCCCGTTAGTCTGTAAGGATTGTGCTACAGCCAACCCAAGCGGAAAACCATAACTGAATTCTTCAAGAACATCCCTCCCCTTTCTGTTAAATGGACTTTGGACCTGGTCCTGGGCGGGCAGGAGTTGTGGCCTTGCTGAGGAATGTGTACAAATCTCAGTGGGCTCTGGAGAGCCAACAGAGTTGGAGGATGTGGAGGTAGAACATGTCTTTTTAGCTATGACCTTGCCCAGCACTGAATCTGATTTCCAAATTTGGAGCTTTGGTCTTGGAGAAAGGATGGCGCCATGCACAACCACATTCCTTGGACAAGACAACTTCCTTGTGTGATGGTCAAGTTAGATTACGACCATGGGAATAAAGCTTCCTGGGAGGAGATGAAGGGTGCCCGCAGAGCTATGAGGCCACGGGAAGATCCTGCTTTCCTCATGAGGCCTAGTCTCCTCCAGGTTCATGTGGAAATGAGGATCTGCTCTTCCTTGACCATACAATTTGCAGGGTCCCAGCTTCCAGTACTATACTCTTGTGACCCACAGAATGACTGGCTGCTGCCACCTCATCACATGTTGACATGACTGGGACATGCTGAGGTTCCTGCTCTTTCCTGCCTCAGTCTTTGATGTCGTCAGCAGTATGGGCTTTCATGTAAACTTGGAAGTTACTGGCATCTGCCTATGAAAGTGGATCAACAGAAGAATGGATGAACCTTAATCCTTTGACTCCAAGGGGATAGGCTTCTATGATACTGCCTGATGGTGACAGGGCTTCCTGACATTTCTCCTCCATTTCACACTTACTTTCTGTAATTCTGCTTTCTCCTCCACTAGATAGAATCTCTCTATCTTCCCACTTCTTAACTCTTGGCAATTTTAAGGTCACTAATGGCAAGAACAACTTTAGCTTCTCTTCAGAAAACAAGTAAATCAAATAGAAGATCCATTGAACCTAGGGTGAGCTCTGCTTAGCCTCAGGAAGGTGATCATATGCATACACCAGAGTTCCCTCTTCAGTTCTTAAGCATAAAGAATAGGTACCAATAACTTTCTGAAATGTTACTATAAATATGTAGTTAACAAACTCTCTTTTGGGGAATAGTCCCTAATCCACAGAAGCCAATGTTTTATGCTCCTAAGATATCATTACTATGTACGCATTTTGGGGAAAAAATTATCTTCCTTAAAATTTGCAGAGGCTCAGACCCCTGTATCTGAAACTAAAAACCACGTTTCTCCTGATTTCAAATATGTTCCATGGCCTTAATGTTGGGATGATCTTAGATTTAGTGCTTCAATTTCTCAAGAACAATCTTTAGCAAAACATACCATTTTAACTGAAAATTCTTTTCACACTTTTCATAGTTAGAAGGCAGGGATCAAAAGGGATCTATCACTTGCACCACATGATTGGGGGGGACCCCTAGCTTGCAGGCCCTCTTGCCTAGGGCTGCCTCTTTAGTGCACTGGCTGTTGGTTTGATAAGGCCCTTTGCCATACTTCTGTCCCTACCAAAAGCTAAACCAGTTTGCAATACTGGATCTTATTTACAGAAAATGATTTTATTTGGTGTGTCAGAAGTCAGGTGACAAAAGGATCAGCTTTGCCCACTTGCAATTTTGGAAAAGAGAGGCTGTAACTAGTGTCATAGCAGTAGGTGTGAACATTCACATATAAATTTTTTTTTACAGTTCTCCCTTTTAAGTCCCAATAATAGGAAGGTTAAGCCGTTATATGGATATATTCAAAGCTATATTTACAGAATTTGAGTGGAAGACGAATGTATTAGCCACGAAACATTAAAGAAGGATGTCATGATTGGCCACTTTTTAAAATATCTGATCACAGCAATGGGAGAATAAGGGTATGTTGGTGAGGCCAAGCATACATAGTTTGAGGGACTTCTGGTCTATGACCTAGAATCAGGCAGAAACCGATTGAAAAAATGTCATTTCTTGATTCAAACGCTACCTTGCCGTCCCTCTTCCATGCATCTCTCATACAGAAATTCCCGCTACTTACACCACCACCACCACCACCACCACACCTCCCACAAAGTGTTCTCCTTCAGGGAGCTGGGCCGGGGTCTCCTTTCATGAAGTGTGCATTTCCTCTCTAGGGGAAGACTGCCCCCTGCTGGTTTGGCTTTAGTCTTGGTCCAAAGCCCCTCTCTTGATCTGGAATTTCAGAGATTAAGACTGTAAATCCAGCTTCCCACAATGTGTCCACTGTAAGCCTACGTGGCCCAGCCAACCTTGATGCCAAGCTCCCAGGGAGCCAGATAGAATGACACACCCTTTTCCTGATTGTCCCCATGCCACCCCCAGCTCACTGTCACTATGGTCTGTGGTGTTCATCCTTTAACCTTCATTCCGAGTAGCTGGTTTCATGACAGTTTTGCTCAAATCTGCATCATAACAACACATGGGGGTGGGGCATAGAAGAGACCCCTGGACTAAAGGGGACTTCAATGGCAGAGGATGAAATTGCTCCAGCACATGCTCAATTGTTCACTGAAACATGGGATTTTCTTGCCCAAATAGACAACTCATGCTCCCCAAGTGTAATCAAAGCATGTGGTGTTTCAGGACCATGTGTTCCAGGTTTCTATTTTGGAAGCCTTCAGCTGTCTTGCTTATGTACGGTATGTAAATTTATTCTTTTTAAAATAAATCATTTTTGTTTGATTCTGACTTCTTATTAAATGCTTCAAAAGCCAATGTTCTGTTCCTTTGGATTTTTTTCCCCTTTACCCTGGATCGTTTTTCTGAGTTCACTGGACCTGAGTTGGAAAAGGGGATAAAGATAAGTGGCAAGTTGCATGATTCTGTTATCATGATTCAATCACATGCAAATACCAGTAAGCCCCATAGTGGTCACGCATGATTAGTGGAAAAATTACACTGGCATGCTTAAGTGCCCACCTCTATGTCCTTTTACTGTAAATGAGATAAATTTCACTCTGTGTTGGAAGGTGTGTTAGAGCTGCTGCTGGTAAGGTGAGTGCACTATCTGCTAAACCAAAGTAACAACTGCAACTATGTGCTCTGCCTCCAAGTACCCCAGTTTGCTATTTGAAATGGTATGAGAAGTTGACACTTATATTTGCAAGAGCAGTCTAGGAGTCTCTTTGTACTGTGAGCAGGATGCATTTATTACCTACGATGCCAGGCACCATTGGAATGAGCAACTCCAACCTGTCCTGTGGAGTTCTCCAAGGAGAGAGAAGACACAGGCTCAGAGAATTACAATTCAAGATCTGAAGTGTTAAGACTGTAGGGAAAACATACCATGTCATGGCATTCTGGAGGAGGGGGAGATTAATTCCAGGTGGAGGACTGCAGCAACACAAGCAATGTGTAGAAGCAATGTATGAGCCAGGCTTAAAGAACACGTGGGATCAGCTCTGACCAGAGGTGCTTCCCCAGATACCTTCAGTGCTTACAAGGAAAAACCAAAGTAAACTCGCATAGATATTGTGTTAAAAATGAAGGGACATCTACAGGTGACTTCAGACTCCTTCCCCTTCTACACCTCTGAATTTTTTTTTCAAGGATGCTCACTCACAACCTTGTTCCCAGAGAGCCCTGGGTGGAGATGACCAGCATCTGTGTCCTTTGTGCCCATTGTGTTCCTCAGTCTTGTCTTTGCCCGGTTCCCTGAACTAGTTCTGTGAAATGAAACTTGTAGAATATTTCCATGATCCTGCCTCCTGCGGGGAACTCAGTACCCCCGCCTCTCTCTCTGATGATTACGAGTGAAGCCCTGGTTCTCTAGTAAGGGGCAGAACCAAGTGAAATAGTGGTATACGCTTGCCTTACTTTACACAATAGATGTTTTCCTCAAAGCTGCTTGTATTTTTCAGACTTTAAGTTCACTGAAGGGTTTGCTGTTTAAAACTCATATGGCCATCCTTCGTTTCTCTAAACATAAGGCTTTAATAAATTACTTGGGGTGCACCATGAATCCTTTGTTTTCTTCAAGTGGGGCACACCTGTAGGACACATTTAAATATTTACAGATGCATATTAAGAATGAGAGTTGAATGTGGGCCATGAATAGAATGTTAAATTCTTAAAACTGCAGCCACATGAGACAAGGGAGCTACACGAAGCCAAAAATTCTTCTTCCTTTTTCACGCCTGTCTATATGGCATGCAAAAACAAACAAGAAAAGCAAGGGTGTAGCTGGAGTTCGGCGGGAACGCAGCCTTAACGCACACATCTGCCAGCCTTGCTTTCTCTCTTGCTGTGACATACAGGTCCCCTTGGTCAGAGTCTTCCTAATGCAGGTGTTCAAAGAATGTCAATACCTCTTTAATATGCACAGCACTGGCCTGAGGTCCTTGATGAGGTGGCTGCCTTACTGCCTGTGTTGCACAAGTCATTTCCTCTACCTGTATGCATGAGCCTGGAGGACTGAGGTCTCCTGGGCTTCCAGGCTGCCGCGTCCCTCAGTCACACAGGACAAATTATACACAGAGTACACAAAATGCAAGTGATTTTAGACATCTTAATTAAGTACTGATAAAAAGATGTTGAAGTTTCTCGAAGATCAAAAAGGGATTTCCATTATGCTCCCTATACAAACCCCAGCCCAGGCCCTCCGTGTGACAGCTGGGCCCAGTGCTTTCCATAAGTCATTCGGCCTAAATGATCTTCCTACAGCACGGTTTGTTTATGGGGCGCCTCTCTGTCTGGCTCATCTTACTCCACCTGCCTCAAAGCTACCCCAAGTGCTTCTTGCTTAAATGTTCTGCCCAAGACTCAGTCAGGACATCTTTGATTAACCCCGCCCATCTCTAGCTGGGATGTGACACGGTATCTGCCCAGCACCAAAAAAGGGTGATTACACAAGCTTACTTCCACCCAAGGCTTCCTGTCAGCCCTTAGGAGATCCTTATTTAGGGACGGGCATATTTTCATTGTTCACTACAGAAAGTGGAGGCTTGTGGGAAGTAGAAAATTTCTTTGGCTATAGAAAAGTCACATTTCCCCCACATCTTTATGCTGTCTTAATGGCCTGATTTACTTGGCACTCACAAATCCTCCAATACCAGTGCTGCAGTTGCTCTCAGCCTCGCCACTGCCTCCTGACATTGATGGGCTGTTTCAAAATGTTTTCTAATGCAGAATCATGCCATGTTCCTGGCCTCCTGGATCAACAATGAAGTCTGAACCTTATGAATGAGATGTGAAAAACTCGAGTGTTGTCCTTGAACTTTTTTTTTTTTTTTTTTTTTTTTTTTTTTTTGGTTTTAGGGATTGAACCCAGGGGTGCTTAACCACAGAGCCACATTCCCCAGCCCTTTTTATTTTTTTGAGACAGGGTCTCACTAAGTGGTTAAGGCTGACTTTGAACTTGAGATCCTCCTGGCTCAGCCTCTTGAGTTGCTAGGATTACAGGCGTGTGCCACTGTCCCGAAGACTGAACATGTTCTAACACTGCATTCATCACACGGGGGTGGAAAAAACTCAGGGCTTTTAGGCAGACACAATTTCATGAACCCTTTGCTGGAGACATTTTTCCAATCCACAGTCTGGCTATAACATTTGGTTGTTCTGTCTGCTAGAAAATCAAAGCAGACTGTAAAGGAGACTAAGACTGCTTTGCATGGACTTTGCCCTTCTTGGCAAGCAAGGTCATTTGACTCCCCTACTTTTGTCCAAAGAGGTCACGTTCCCCACACTGACTCTGGTCAAGGGTCTTAGGGAGCTGCTCATAGGCACCCAGAGGTGCACTGCTGCCTTTAGTTTTATTACACATGCCAGTCTTTACTTTTTTAAAAAATTATTTTTTTAGTTGTAGTTGGACATGTTTATTTATTTACATGTGGTGCTGAGGATGGAACCCACAGCCTCACACGTGCTAGGCGAGTGCTCTACCACTCAGCCACAACCTTAGCCCCAGTCTTTTTTTCAGGCTGCATAACAAAATACCATGGGCTCGGTGGCTTAAACAACAGAAATTTATTTTCATAGTCCTGAAGTCTAGAAGTTCAAGATAAAGATGCCAGCAAGGTAGTTCTCATTCTTTGGGCCACAGTGAATAGCCACTGTCTCACTGTGTGCTCATGGGAACTTTTTTGCTGTGTTCAGAGTGAGGGGAGATGAGAGCCAGCGCTATAGTGCCATTTCCAAGGGCACTAATCCCATCACAAGTTCCACCTCATGACCTCATCTAGTCTCATCTCTGAATACCAGCACATTGTGGGGTTAGGGCTTCAACAGATGGATTGGGGGAAGACACATTCAGTCCATCACAATATACATTAAGGTCCTAATAACATAGGAAACCAAAACTTGGGAGATACCTGATGGGGTCAAATGCTTCAGTCCCTGAGAGGGCATATTTTACTTAAGACCATCTGTCTGCTTTTGGATAAAATGGAGAGAAGAGCCCAATCCAACATCCAAGTGTTGTTATTGATGTTTTCACAAAATACCAAGCACAGAGGCTAAGAAGCAAAATTTTGAGTAATGTTCTTTCTTACTAATCCAATGAGCCTCAAGTTGCTGAGAGCAGGAACAGCAGTTTGGCTGGTTTCTACTTAGGCTCCTCCTGTTTAAAATGTAAAAATAGTCATTCAATATGTTTTAAATTCAAAATGCATCCTTTGACCTGGCAACATTTACATGTAGGAATGTAAGCTAAGGGAATATTATGTTGTTCAAGTGTAATAGTCACATCTAAGAAATACCTAATTAACCCCATGAATCTTTAAGTGTGCCTATCACATGCCAAATGTGAATGTTTATACAGTTGTATCCATAAAGACTGGTTTTTCTTGGGCCCTAAGCCAGTGCTATTTTTCATTGGAACATTGTTTATAATTGCAAAGGGTTGGAAATAACTGAATGACCATCAACAGAGAAATAGCTGAATAGATTCACGGATGTCCATACAAGAGAATATTGAGTCAACTGAAATGAGGTAACCTGGAAAAATAAGCCATTTTAAATGAAACATGAGATACAATAAAACTTGTGGCAACTCAGTAAGTAGAGCATGACCCAAAAGAATGTGAGAGTTTGTGAGGCTGATTGTTAAACACAGGAAGATGTCAGAAACAGTGGAGGCCAAAATTGTTAACAGTGAAGTTAATTTAGGGAATTAGGGGGGAAAGTATAGGTTAGTTTGGGAAGGCCTTACTTTGTACTTTGTTTTTGGCATTAGGATTGACCTGGGGATCACTGAACCATATTCTCAGACCATTTTATTTTTTATTTACAGACAGGGTCTCACTAAGTTGCTGAGGCTGGCCTTGAACTTGTGATCCTCCTGCCTCAGCCTCCCAAACAGCTGGGATTACAGGCATGTGCCACTGTGCCCAGCTGTACAACTTTTTAAAGTAGAAGTCTTACCTTTTTGTTTTTCAGGATTTGTTATATTTAGAAGAAACTTGTGAAGTCTCAACAGTTGGCTAAAAAGGTAAATGATGCAAAACTACTGACTCATGGACTCCAAGTTGTTATTAGGTGTCTCAATCACATCTACTGCTATTTGCCCTTTGAGCAAGTCATTACTCTCTCCAAGACTCAACTGTTTCCAGCCAAGAGAATTTCATTGTACTTCCTATGACTGTTAAAACACAGACAGACAGACAGACAGACAGACACACACACACACACACACACACACACACACACGAAACCAGATCAGATGTGGGAAGACTATAAACAGAAGAGTGATGCAGGACTGTAAGGCCATAGAAGTGGAGTCATCTGTAAACTAGAACAAAAATCAATTATATTTAATTTTCCTTATAATACCTGAGCTCCCAGCTTCTACTAAGATGTGTCTCCTCTAATAAAGGCTTTTGGCAAGCTACCTTGGCTCCAATTCAAATGCTTTATCCAGGACAAGTTTAAGATGGTCTGGCGGTGGAGCCTCCACTCATAAGCTAAGTTTGCCTCTTCTAATGTGGCCAATTCGGTTTTCCTTCTCAGTTTCCTGCTTTAGAGGGCAGAGACATCTATAAAATGCATGGAGTTGATCTTTCCCTTTTCATGCTGAATAATCAATACAAGTAGTTTCTGACCATTCAAAAATTATCTAGGGGGCTGGATAAATCTTCATTACCCAAAGTGTCCTCTAAACTCTTCACAGTCAATTCCACTTGGAGATCCTACTAACTAGTTTGCTTTTGACTTTTCTAGAATTTCATATAAATGGAATTACCTGTACATAGTTTTCTGCATCTGGCTTCTTTCACTTGACATAATGCTTTGAGATTCATTTGTGTTGTTTTGAGCACCAGTAGTTCCTGTGTATTGCTGAGATGTATTCCACAGAATGAATATACTGCAATTTAAACTACTATAACATTAAACATCTGCACAAAAATTGTTGTGTGGATGGCCTTATGGGTAAACCTAGAAGTAATGGCTGGGTAGTAGGTGTTTCACATTTTAAGAAACTGCCAACTATTTTCTTACATGGTTTTATCATTTTATACTCTCAACAGCAGTGCATGATAATTCCACTTGTCTAACATCTGATCAGTCTTTTAAAATCTAGACATTTTTGATGGGTATGCAGTATTTTATTAATGTGGTTTTCATTTGCATTTTTCCAATGACTAATGTTGTTGTGTGTCTTTGCACAGATTCATATTTCTTTTAGGAAATGTTTTTTTCTATTCTTTTATTCATTTTTTAAAAACAGGATTGCTTGATAAATAAGTTGTAAAAATTCTTTATGTATGCTGGATACAAGCCCTCTGACTTGTATCTCACTTCATTTTTACAATGTAAATAAAGGTTTACTCACAACAGAACTGGGAAGTTAAGGTGGAAGTCTTACATGCAAAATTTTACCATGTTAAACAATGCTCCCTACTGAGGCGAAGCATATTCCCTGTAATATGGTGAGGGTTTTTCTTAGTAGGCTGAGCAGAAGCTCCATAAACATAATTCTTGTTCCAATATCTTTTCAGTTATTTTTACTACTACCCAAACTTTTACGTTTTATTATCATGTCTCTTTTCCTCTTCTTCTTCTTCTTTTTTTTTTTTTCAGTGCTGGTTATTGAACCCAGGGCCTCACACATGCTAGTCAAACACTGACTACCACTGAGCTACACCCCCAAGCTTCTATCATCTCAATAGTCATTGGGAAATTCTACCAAACATTAGATCCAGATTCTGTTTTCAAGAGATAGCACTTAGTACTTGAGCTGGATTCTAGATTAAAGCAGGAAAGGAAAATAAGATGTACGACAAGGAGAACTGGCAGAGGTTTAGCTTCAGAGGGCTGTAATTATACTTCCCTATAAAATAAGCAGAAACTAGTAGCTCAATTAAGTATTTAAAACCATAATTTTATAACTGACTTATTACATAACATAAGGCTTAATGCAAAAATTAGTTTTTCATTGTCCTAATGTTCACATTGCACTGGATCAACACTTACCCATTTTAACTCTTGTAAGCAGAACAGATCTATGGTGCATGTACTCAAGTTATAACAGAGTAGAAAAACGCCTTCATGTTCTCGAGTTTTAAATATTTGTGTTTCAGGTTTTTCTTTCACTTTAAAAAGACTTCAAAAATGATAATTGCTCGACTGTAGTTGACTCTTAGAAGTTTTCTAAAAATCTTGTTATTTTGTTGTTCCCAATGGAAAACACATGCCAAATGAAGAAAATAAAAGCTGAAACTCTTACTATCTCACATTTGTGAGATGTGTGTTCTAATTATCCTGTTTCACCCATAAGGGGTAAAAAAAAGTGGGATCCTGTTATGCAGGAGCTATGGGTGACAAGGAGAAACCTGCTGTCTGAGTAGCTCTTCTGCTTCCAGACGGACCTGCACCCCAGTGCACTCCTCTGGTGCTCATCCAAGAAAGCACACAGACACATTCCACACTGCACACACCAGCCCAATGCAAGCTGCCCAGGGAGGCAGGCGGAGCTTTTTACTTTATTAAACATTAAAACACAAATGGATGCTCCCTGTGGAGTAGGAGAGGACACCGGAGGAGGAGAAAGGGACACTAGGGGACAGAACTGTACAACAGAGATCCATCCTCACAAAAAAGGCTCAATATTGATTTCCAGGGAGGAGCAGGGCATGGTCAGCTCAAATTTGGTGATAACATCAGGATGAAGGACTCCGAGCTTCCCAATGCTTTGACCCCTGGCAAAGATCTCGGCACATCGTCCAGGGAAGAAAGCAGGGCCTGAAAAACAGAGAAAAAAATCAATGTTTCTTCTGGCAAAATGTCAATAGACATTTAACACTAAAAGCCCACAAGTCAACTTTAAAAATAACTATTCTTTAAAGCACAAGGCTAAGAAAGCAGTCCTCATACCCTCTAGTGTTAACAAGAAGCTATCACATCAGGAACTCCTATGAAGAAAAGTTAGGGATGAATAGGAAAATAAGGGCCCTGTGTGTTCCTCACAGGGGTCCGAGCAGGAAGTATGAAAGGAGGCTGAGGGCACAGTCAGGAGAGCCTGGGTACCTGGAACTGTCCTTCAAAGGACAAAGGGGAAAATGAAATGCAGATAGGATGCTGAGTGGGAGGAAGGAGCTGTGGAAGAGCTGACACCACGTCCACAATGGATCACTCCAGTGACATCACTCCTTTCTACCTGATTACATGGAGAAACCCAAGCTGCAGTGACCTCACAAGCTACAGGGAACCGCACTGGCTAATTACAGGCTGCGTTGCCAGAAGGCGACCCATGTTCCCGTCTGAAAAGAGCTTCCTAAGCAGTTCTGGAGCATCTTCTGCAAAACCAGAGCAAAGGCCAGACCCAACAAGTCCAAGCAGATCCCTGCTTTACTTTAAGCCTGGCAGAAAGTTCTCTCTTCATCTGGGAGCCAATGCACTGACACAGTTCGCCAATCAGTAACGGTTCTCAAGATTTAACTGGCTACAAACCAAACGTATAGGCCCATTCACTAGTGGCTAAATTACCAGTGCCACAGGAGCGTATTCATGCCCTGGACTCTACTGAAGTTTAAGATAATGCTGACTCATTTCTCTAGCCACCCACTTGAAAAGGGTCAGGCCCATAGCTCCTGGCTGATTCAAACCACGTTTACTGGCATGAACTATAAATACCCAGTGGAGCTGGGCCACAAGCCTCCGGCCTGCCACTCAGAGTGAGTGCATTATTTATGGAAGAGCAAGCTGCTGAGTCTCCTAATGGCTTCAAGGTCAGCATAATTAGGAACTACAAAATAGGGTTGGAAGGGAGGGAAAAATCTGCTACTGTCAAGTTAATACCACAGATGCACAGAATTGTACACATTTTTCAGTCAGTATTGAAAGATGTTTTTTATATTTCTGGGAAAGACCTGAAAAATATTTTTAATTGTCCTTAACCCTAAGAATCTGGACAAAATGTAAGGTGGTCTCTTTCTCATGTCTGCCAACCTAAACAATTCTGTTTCATGGTCAAATTGAGAGTTCCAGTGAATTGCATTTAAGTACTTAATCCACACTAAGGAAAAGGGGTGAAGAAGGGAATCAAATGAAATAATTCAGAAACCAAACTGGAAGGATAATACAAAGTCCTGGTGAGACACGAATTATTGCTTAGTCTGATAAAGATGGTATATTTTAATTCTATTAAAATGAAAATCTAATGATTATCTCCCCAACCAGAAAGCAAAAGAGATTTTCAAATGATAAATCAAGGAGTTTGTATAAAGTGTCAATGGTCAGCATTATGACTGACAAACCCAAGCTGATAAAACCATAAACCTCAGAGATTGTTGGGGCTCCCTTCTCCCGTCACCCAGCACCCCTTCACACAACAGAGCTGAACACACACACCCTCTGAGAAAGACACTGGCCTAGGTTAAAAGGCCCCTCAGAAAGGAAATATCGAAGACCTTCCCTGATAACCTCGCTGTACCAGAATCTTTCCTTTTGTCTATCTTCAATTTCAATTTGATTGGATTCATTTTTACTGAAGCATAAAACCAAACTATTTTCGAATCTAAGCCAGATGTGCTCATTCTGGCAAATGTTAGCAAAACAAAGCCTGAGAGATAAGAACTCAGAATTTTTACTTCATATAACCTTTGGATCAGCACTTTCTAGCAAAATTCGGATACCTTCTTTAGTTGCCAGGTTGCATTCTCTCTCTCTAGAGACAGCTGGATCAAACTTTGCTTAAGCTCATTAAGTAGGCAGGTATATGGTCAAACAAAATATTTATGTCACCAAATACAATTTTCTCTTTTTCTAAAGACAAGCAAAGAGAAATAAAATTTGCATGATGCCTTAAGATATCGCCAAGTATGACAGTATTCTAAATGGCAAATGCCATAAGTTTTCACCCTAGAGCTGGGCATGGTGGCACACACCTGCAATCCCGGCAACTGGGGTGGCTGATGCAGGAGATTGCAAGTTCAAAGCCAGCCACTCACAACTTAGTGAGGCCTTAAACAACCTACCAAGACCCTGTCTCAAAATAAAAACTAAAAACGCCTGGGGGGATGTGACTCAGTGGTTAAGAGCCCCTGGGTTCAATCCTCAGTACCAAAATGAAAAGAGAAAAGTTTTCACCATAGCACATGAACCCATCTGAGTCCTAAGGGCATCCAGAAGGTCTTCACTGAATCCCAGTGGAGAGGCATTAAAGGGGCTGCTGTCCTTTCTCTCAATAAACAGTCTCCCCCACCCACTTAAAATGTAAACATTAAACCCAACACTGGGATTTCTGTATGAACTTCACTCTGCTGAAAACTGCACACTTAAAGCTGTGAGGACAACTTTAACTTCTCTTGTCCTTTTTTCAATTCTACAAGGTCAGATTATGATACAAATACTTAGCATTTCTGCATTTTGCCTCAATTAGAGCAAGGCTGGGGTTGTCCTAGATCTATACAAACTGAGCAGCATACAAAAGGATTCAAGTTATCAAGGGCAACAGACAGATCCTAAAAGATGTGCTACTTGACTGACGTTATAGGTGAATTAGAAATGCTGAAAAAAAAATTTTAAATTACTAAAACATAAGCATTTCTTAGCGTTTTCAAAACCATTATGGTTTTTAATTTTGGTTTTCTAATTTACAGGCAGAATTACTTCACTAACAAAGGGGAAACACCCCACTAAATATTAATCAGTCTTGAAAGTTCAAAGGTGAGAAAGTCTCCATGCTAACAGAAGGAGGGCAGTTAACTTAGGTGGATCAACGTGGTCATCATGTGCTAGGTAGGACTGATGCATCTTAAACAGCAGTCTGTCCAGAAATAAAAGCAGTTATATCAGAATGGAACTAAATATGGGTCCAGACTTAGGAAAACTCAGACCTGGATGGTAGCCAACTTCCAAAGGCTACTTTTATCTCACTGACAAACAAAAACATTTTTGGAAAGAGCACATCCTGTGTCTAGAGATACATAGTTGCCAATTTAAAGAGAATCATATTGTCTCGTGAAGAGGAACTCTAAAATTCAAATTCTGAAGAATACATTAATTAGTTTTCTTTTATTTGTGTATTTAAGTCCAAATAGAGATTGTGACTTCCTGGTATATCAAAATATATAAACAAACAGTACAGTGTCCCACCTATGTCCTAAGCACCCCACCCAGGCAAAAGGCCTCTCCAGCCTACCCCTGCACCCAGGTCCCTGTGCTGATTAAACTCTCAGCTTGCTGATAGCCACCATGGAAAAATGGCTTCCAGCACAAAATAGAACTGGGGGAAATTGTGCTCCTGTTGAAATACATGTGGAAGCCTTGACCCCCACCCCCCAAAATCAGTTAAGCACAAATAAGTTTAATTTCCCAAACTTAGTGGGGTGTGAGCAAGCCCCTTAATTAAAGCCTTTGTGGCATCTTTTCAAGGTCTGTAATCGTCTCTGCTCTAACGGCAGGGCCACTCAGGACCTCAGGGTCATTCCTGGACCCATAATCCAGCACAGCACCCAGTCTTTAGCACATTTTCTGGCTAATTGACCATCAAAGAGTCTGTGAGCACCTCTCCTGCTCGTTGCCAAACACCTTTCACAGTTTCTTTTTGCCTCATCTTTTTTTTTTTTAGAGTAATAGTACAGGTCTAAAGTTGGGATAAGCTTTACACATCGAGCCATTCCTTTAATTTTATGAGCGTCAGAAGTAGAAGCTTAAGGTGGTAATGGGGCGCACTTCTCATCTGGAAGCATGGAGGAAGTTACCCGGCACTAGGTCCCTACTCCTTAATTCAAGTCCTACTGGCTATGACAACCCACTGATCTGGCACTTCACTTGGCCCATCTCTAAAAATCATCTATTCATATAACTTAACTCTTCCCTGTCTTTGGATCACCAGTACATGTTTTGAGGTTCAAATTCTCATATGACCGACTGCCTGCAATCTGGTACTTTACCACCCAAATTTTCTGAAAGAAAAAGAACAAAATAAAAAAGAGGACAGGAAATACTGGAAAAGGAATGTCCATAAATCATTTGTCACAGCTAATAACAAAAACAGTCTTTGTGAGCTTTCCCCAGATGTCAAGTCCCCAATTCAGGAATGAAGTAGAAAATACAGAATTATATAGATATGGTAAGTCACTGGGCCACCTGAATGTATTTTAATGAATGTAGTTTAAGTCTGATCTAAATGACTGATTAATGTAATATGATGAAGAAAGGAATAATCATTTAATAGGCTGAACTGTCTAGAGTTGGCACCTACCTTCCCTCCCCACAAAGACAAACAAACAAACAAACAAAAAAACCCGTATTCCATTCTGGAGTGAAACCAATAAAGTGGGTGACAGGGCAAGGAGCAGAAGAGAGCTGAAAGCTGAAGCTATGCCTTCCTATGCAGGGCTTTCTCCTACTTTCTCACCAGTTTTCAGAGACTGTAAACTGTCTAACTCTCAGCCTCACCTTCCTTTTCTAAATAATGTATAGGGCTTAAAAACTGCACATATCCACATGGGAGCATGCCATAATTCTTATGGGTAGTTGTTCTCAAAATTTTAGAACCAGCAGATTTTTGAGAACCAGTGGAATTACAGAAAGAAGGGGAGAACACAAGGAGGGAAAGGGTACAAGGTAGGCAAGACATTAACTTAAAAAAAAGAAAGAAAAAGGCTTAGGAATACGAGGAGCCATAAGATCACCACTGAGATATAAACACAAAACATTTTTTCAGATCCCAGTACACTCAGGAGAAATGTCTCTGTAAAGACCATTTAATTTGTAAGTGGAGACTAAATAATTTC